CTAAGGATGTCAGACTGCAGCTTAGGCCTGCTCCCCGCTGGCAAGTGGACATCCCCCGAGGGCTCCCGGGCTGCCAGAGGGATGTCTGATTGCCAGCTTAGGCCCAATACCCCCGGGGGGCGGGCCTAAGCCAGCAGGTGGTCATCCCAGAGGGGTCCCAGACTGTGAGAGGGCACAGGCCAAGCTGAGGGACTGCCCCCCCCCACTGAGTGCACAAATTTTTGTGCACCGGGCCTCTAGTATATATATAGTTGTTGTTATAAGCCACCCAGTCTGTGGTATTTTGTTACAGCAGCTTGAATAGACTAAAACAACAGAAGAAAAATAAGAAATGCACTAAAAACTAATTTCATAAGTGATATCATTGGCTTTACCTTCTTTGAAGATATTATACCTAAGTCCTGGTTCTCCTTACTATCTATATCAGTGGTTCTCAACCTTCTGGCCCTTTAAATACAGTTCCTCACGTTGTGACCCAACCATAAAATTATTTTCGTTGCTACTCCATAACTGTAATGTTGCTACTGTTATGAATCGTAGTGTAAATATCTGATATGCAGGATGGTCTTAGGTGACCCCTGTGAAAGGGTCATTCGACCGCCAAAGGGGTCGCGACCCATAGGTTGAGAACCGCTGATCTATATAATCACAACTAAAATAATGGATCTCCAAAGTGTAAAATATAAACACCAATCTGAATTCAGTTGAGTATATAAACATACTTATACAACAAACGATAACAACATATTTGACAAAATTTCAAAATAATAAAAACATCAAAATGAAATCTTGATTATCAATTTTACCTTTCAATTTCTTTTTTTTGAGGATTTGAAATCATTAACTGTGCTTGGTTATTTTCCTCAGTCATGGCCTTCTGTTCTTCATAGGCTTTTAGTTTTTCTTTTAACATTAAAATCTAGTAGAGAGAAAAACTAGTTAAAATACAAAATAAATTATCTGTTTCTATTATTCATGGCCACAGAAAAATTTTAGCCATGAAAAATAATTGAAAAAGCCAGATTTCATATGTAATAGAAAACATCTCAAATTTTTAGACAATTAAGTTTGTAAAATCCCATGAGTGAGGAAGTGAGGAAGATTAGTATATGTAAACAGTAGACATACCTCTTTCTTCTGCTCATTACAGATCTTCACATACTGAGTTATATGATTGTCAAGGTGCAGAACATTGCTCTTCAACTGTTAAAATATAGGAATTATGAGTAAATATAAAGATAATCATTATCTTTATATACAAACAAAATGGCATTACATGCTCATTAATTCAGTTCCACGAATTCAGAATTTGTGGCAAGCACATGATCAATTATGCTCACGTTTAAAATCATGACAAGAGGATATGCTGACCACATTAATAATGTAAATGAAATGATAAAAAGATTGCCTTACTATGTGAAAAAAGATATTTTTAAGAACTTATGAAGCATTCATTCTCAATATGATAAAAATTACCCATTTTCTTTTTCCTCTGACTTCTAAGAAATTCAGAGATAATTTTAAGACTGAGACAGTTGTTAAGTTCAACTAGGTGTAATGAGTTATTACATTTTATCCTTTATATAAAAGTATGGGCCCCTTGGCAGCTATGGAATAGTGGAGAGACATTAAATATAGAAGTCCAAATACTTAATTTTGAGGCTCTGCTCACCTCTCAGTTAAATGATGTGGAATTTAGTACTTACAACTCTGAGCATGGGATTCCTCCACTGTAGAGCTAAAAATGCCTTCCATAATGGGTTAGTGTAAGGATTATATGAAAAACGTATACAAAACCTTTGTATACCCATATTCTACAGCTTTTAGCAACTAATTATATAAATAGTATCTGAACATTTCTCAAAGGAAGACAATAACATGTTCATGTTCATTAAATAAGAGTAGCAGAAGGTTAAGCAGGCAGAGAAGTTATCACACTAGTTTAACTCTAGGTCTCTTCAAATTCTGAGATCCTGTGATTTTAAACATATATTATGTTTGACTTACGTATTTTTTAATTACCCCAAATTTTTTGCAAAAATACTGATCTAACCAATCATTATATTGCTGGAGCTAGAGATTGGTTATGTCAATATCATAAACGTAAAAATAAATGATTTTTAAAAAGCTATTTACTTTATAAACTGAGGCAGATATAACTATTTTACAGATGAAATAACTGAGGCTTAAAACCAATGGACATGGACAACACATTTGTAATACCTTAACTAATAAAAAAAATAATAAAAAAAAGAAATAACTGAGGCTTAGAGAAATGAGCTAACTTGTCCAAGGATGTTAGGTAGAAAGTGTTTGTGTTACGCTAAAAAGTTCATCTTTAGCTGCCACAATATGCTAAAGCCTTGACCAATTACTCCCGGGTGCCATAAAAAATCATGTGCCATGATGTGGAAAAGGTTAAAGGCACTAAAGCCCTAGCTGATTTGGCTCAGTGGATAGAGTGTCAGCCCTCATACTGAAGGGTCCTGGGTTTGATTCCAGTCAAGGGCAGGTATCTCGGTTGCAGGCTCGATCCCCAGCTCTGGTAGAAGCATGTGCTGAAGGCAACCAATCCATGTGTCTTTCTCACAAAGTATGCTTTTTTCCCCCTCTGTCTCTCTCTGTCCCTTCCACTCTCTCTAATCATCAATAGAAATATATCCTTGGGTGAGGATTTTAAAAAAAAGGAAAAAGGCACTAAAGCGCCTAAGCTGCCAAAAGACTGAATAATAGTTATCTATTATACATGTAATCAAGATGCTTAATGGTTTAATTTAATGTCCAATTCATCCTAACTGTAAAGATATTTCTAACACTATTTCCTAACTCATTAGTAAAAATGCAACTCTTAATTAATATTTTGTTAGAATTATAAAAATAATGTCACCCAATAACCTTATGACAAAAGCAGACTAAACATACTTACAGATGATTTAATGTCCTTTGCACGGTTAGCATACTTAAGAGTGTTATATGTGTCATCGTAGCTCATAGAGGAAGGACTAATAGCAGCTATCATTATAGTTTGACAGTTGCCTCCAAGAGAATCCTTTAACAAGCGAGTGAGCTTACTATTTCTGTAAGGAATATGCTGATTCTTTCTCTGAAAACACACACACACCAAAAAACAAAACAAAACAAAAAAACACAAAAAAAGAATTCTTATGTCATTTCCCACATTTAAATGCAAACCTGCTACCACTTCACTTTAAGAATATAAGCAACTGCCCAACTTTCCAGAATTATGATATAAATGGGGATCTAAATGTTGATAATGAATCTTATGGAACTAGTAGAGGTAGGGTCCCTAGCGGCTGCCTGCTGGGTACTCCCTCCCTTCCCCTGGCTGGCCCTGCCCCCCTGGTTGAACTCCCGGGCGACCTCCTGGTTGAGGGGACATTTTGCATACTATGATTTTATTATATAGGAGGATGCAATGAATATATAAAACAAATATCCTATTTAAAGATTTTATATCTATCTGAATATAAACTTTAGATAATAAAATATCAATGTTGGTTCATTAGTTGTAATAAGTGTACCTTATTAATGTGAGATGTTAACAAGGGGAAATGAGTGTGGAGTATATTTAAGAAAATTTTTCTGTATTATCTTAGCTACTTTTCTGTATCTAAACCTATTCAAAAACAAAATGCCTATTTAAAAAATTTCCATTTGTTTTTTAAAATAAATTAAAATACAAAATTAATATATGCCCTAGAGGAATAGTAAGAATTCTGCGTGGCATAGAGCTGTTTTCTCTAACCATCTAAAATGGTAATTATTATTATAATTACTATTTTACAGATACTTTATCTGAAAGCATAAGAGTTATAAGAACGTCATTTTTAAGGACCCATTTGTAATACCTTAATCAATAAAAAAAAAGAACGTCATTTTTCTAAGTTTTCTTTTACTTAAAAGATACAGTTCTGACTATCACAAAATTTTCACAAGATGTACAACTACTATGTAAAAACAGAGCATTATAATGTTAAGCTAAAAGCAAACTTATGTTATCCAATGGATATCTTTGATATTACAGAAGAGGAAAATTTGAACTAAGTAAAAAGCAAAATGACATGTTTCAGTTCACATGGCTGGTAATTCAGACCTAGAAATGGGCCCTAGGTCTCCCAACTCCCAGTATTACTGTGCTTTCCATCTACAGTTTTTGAAACTGTAGAATGTGTATTGCTGGTAATTGAAATGATTTTTCATGTACAACACATTCATTAAACACTGACTCATAAATGACTCTATGGGAGTCAAATATTAAAAATTAAGGAAGTATAAAAAAAATGCCATAGTTTAAACGTAGAAAATCAGTCTCTATACCATGCTGTCTGCTTACATGTTTAAAGTTTTAAGTTAAAATATAAAAGTCACCTTGTTTTTGCAATCTTCATGTGACTTCAGTAACTACATATTTTAAAAAGCGTCCTCAAATCATTTTAAAATAATTGATACTAAATCAAAAGGCAACATTTTAAAGACTTCACCATAATTTTCCTAAAGCTTTTGAGGCTGATTGAACTTAAATTAAATGACTGTATTTTAACTTTTAAAAAAGTCATTTTTTACAAATACAAAAACTGTCAAATATGCTGTATTCTAGTAAGCACTTCTGGCATATAGTAGATGTAAAATATTTTAAATGCCTGAAAGGCATCCAATAAACACTAACCTATTTAACCTAGGTAATTTAATTACATTTTATAGCTTAAGTTCCTCTTCCACTCTAAGAAAAATCAACACTCTTTAATATTTAACCCAATTTTACAGTATATAAAAATACTAACCAAAACAGGTTTTAGTTTCTCTGAGACAGCGGTTCTCAACCTGTGGGTCGTGACCCCTTTGGCAGTCGAATGACCCTTTCACAGGAGTCGCCTAAGACCATCCTGCATATCAGATATTTACATTACGATTCATAACAGTAGCAACATTACAGTTATGAAGTAGCAACGAAAATAATTTTATGGTTGGGTCACAACATGAGGAACTGTATTTAAAGGGCCAAAAGGTTGAGAACCACTGCTTTAAGATGTGTTTTGTGTTCATTCATGCCAATTCAATTATCATGCTTGCTGTGTAGGGATCATTACATACTGACTTTAAAAATCAAGTTCAAAATAAGTAATGAGAAAGCACTACTTTATTAAATATTAACTATTAAACTTATATTCAATACTTTTCATTAAACAAATTCTGGTTATAAAACTAGAAATTAAAAAAACACAGAACCATAGCTTTATTTGATATACTAGGCCTTCTGAAGTCTTTGCTCTGTATATAAAAGTTATTGATGTACTCTTGAAATTTCATTAATAGATGTTTAAAACAAAATCATATTAAATAGTTATCTCTCTAGGAATTAAACATACTTCAATATTTCAAAATATTTAAACAAATAAACATATAGTACCTACCTTTGTATCTGCTAAAGCATTGATGACATTCCCAAGAGCCAGAAGTGATCGATTAATATTTGTACCTTCTCTGAACCGGGTCCCTTTAGCACTGGTAGCACTGGCTCTCTCAGACCCGGCCAGGTCAATGAGGGACATCTTGGCAATTCGGACATTTTGATCAATACTTGCTGTTTTGTCTTGTTGTCGCAAATAAATCTTTTTGAAATTAGAGAATAGGGAAAATGAGAAGATTTAACAAAATTAAAAGGGAAATGTACAGTTTACTTTGGCTGATGTTTAAGAATACTAGAAGTAACTACCAAAGTTGAGAAAAATTGGAAAATAAAATGTGTCCAGAGGACAAATAAGTGTTGGCTGAACTAAAGTCAAAACAAACAGTAATTGTATCTGGTAACCCTTGAATCAGATCATGGGATTATCAGAGATGGTAGTGGGGCACAAGTCCTTTAGAAATAATGTTCCTAAGAGAACATCAAAGGCAGTGGTCAGCATGCTTTGCATGTCTGCAGGGATTGTTCCCAAAGGAAAGCTGAATTTGAATGTTGACCCAATTCAAAGAGTAAATTTACCCCAGTTCTCCAAATTGTTGTGTGTAATTATAGTTTAAAAAATGAAACATATAAAAAATAGTATATTGAAGAATACTAGTCATGTTCAACAGTCTATTAGAGTAAAGCACAACTTATTCAACTATTTTAAGCTACTTTGTCATTTAACTGATATAAATTTGGTGGCAAATATGAAAGATATGGGAAAGATATTTCTCTATTATAAAACTCTTTTGCTAAATTTTCTTACAAAACAGGGTCTAAGACATTTTGGAAAACTCCATGTCACAGATAAATATTTCTCTCAAGACTACTGATAAAGTCAGTGGTAAGAATATAAAAGATTAATACAATTTTGTGGGATTGGAGACTTTCTGAATGACTTGATTGCCTCAGATATGAATTCTTTCAACTATAACAATTTTTATAAAATGAGTTCTACATAGCATAATCCAATATAATAGAGGTAATATGCAAATTGACTATCACACCCTCACACAAGATGGCTGTGCCCATGTCATCACAAGATGGCCGGCAGGGGAGGGCAGTGGGGGTGAACAGGCCAGCAGGGGAGGGCAGTGGGGGCGACCAGGCCTGCAGGGGAGGGTAGTTGGGGGCAACTGGGCCGGCAGTGGAGCAGTTAGGTGTCAATCAGGCCAGCAGGGGAGTGGTTAGGGGGCGATCAGGCTGGCAGGCAGAAAAGGTTAGGGGAAATCAGGCAGGCAGGTAGGCGAGCAGTTGGGAGGCAGGGTCCTGGATTGTTAGAGGGATGTCCGACTGCTGGTATAGGCCCGATCCTGCAGGGATCGGCAGTTGGACATTCCCTGAAGGGTCCCAGATTGGAGAGGGTGCAGGCTGGGCTGAGGGACACCCCCCATCCCAACAGTGCACGAATTTTGTGTACCGGGCCTCTAGTCTAAATAACAAAAACCTAAGCGACTATTGCGTTAGAACGAACAGTCGCTATGATGCACACTGACCACCAGGGGACTGACGCTCAACTCAAGAACTGCCCCCTGGTGCTCAGTGCGCTCCCACAGGGTGAGCACCATTCAGCCAGAAGCCAGGCTCATGGCTGGCGAGCGCAGCAGCAGTGGCAAGAGCCTCTCCCGAGGAGTCCCAGACTGCGAGAGGGCACAGGCCAGGCTGAGGGGACCCCCCCCACCGCCCAGTGCACCAATTTGGCGCACCGAGCCTCTAGTCCATAATAAAGCTACATAATCATTTGGCTTTAACAGGACTAGAAGCTGTAAGAAATAATATCTAACCTATGCATTTAGAATTCTTAAAAGTACTGTATCAACTGAATTGCACTTTCTTAAAAAATGCAACTACTCTATATGGTCACTATGATGAAATCTTTTAAAAAGTGAATCAGTATCTCCCCAATTCCTTGGTTATGTAAATCTAGATCTATAAAGTTTGCTCTGAATATAAGTTTATGCTTTGGAAATATTAAATATTTTCACCAATTTAAAAAAAAAAAAAGAAAAAACTCCAATACTTCTTATCCACTATATCTTTAACCAGGTAAAATTTATATTTCTGTTTTACATCATCTCATTTCTAAATATTCTGGTAAGAATCTTCTCAAAGCTGCAAAGTAAAGAAAGAGCTAAGAAGTAGGAAAGTACATAATGAAAAAATTTTTTGTATGTGTGAAAATTACAATCCACAAATTTGGCTTCATTTATTTTAAATTCAACTTTTAAGAGCAATAGTCTAGTGCAGTGGTCGGCAAACTGCAGCTCGCGAGCCACATGCCGCTCTTGGGCCCCTTGAGTGTGGCTCTTCCACAAAATAACACGTGCGGGCGCGCATGTACAGTGCGATTGAAACTTTGTGGCCCATGCGCAGAAGTTGGTATTTTGCGGAAGAGCCACACTCAAGGGGCAAAAGAGCCGCATGTGGCTCGCGAGCCGCAGTTTGCCGACCACTAGTCTAGTGGCTTGTTACCTGGAAAACAGCATGAGAACGAGAAGATGTGGCATTCATATCAGTAGGATGTTGTGTCCTATTTTTGTTCCCATTATCCAACAAGTGTAAAATTTCTTCTGAGGACTTGGGCTAGAGAAGTTTAAAAATATATACAAATTAGCCATCTGAGTTTAAATTTTGTAATACATGTTCAACAAGCAAGAAGAATTTTAAAGATAAAAAAAGTGAGAAAAAGCTTTCTATAATTTAAATCCTATTAAATATTGACTGTATATCATTTGCTTTGTACATTGGTGTTACATGAGGAATAAAAGATAAAGCCTTGTCTTCTGAGCAGATAAAATATAAATGTATTAAAGAAAGTAATACATGATATTAAATGTTCAAGAGTATTTTTAAAAGAAAAGCTCTCTTAATTATTTCAAGGAATACAAAACTGAAGATACACCATGTTTATTTTAAGTTTGTACTTCATTATTTTTCTTCTTTCTCAAGCACAATGAAGAATAAGTAAATGGCTAAATAACCAAACTTGCTATTTGAACAGAGGAAAAGTTTATAAACATACCTGATGTAAAGTCAACCCCTGAACAACGACCCCTTTTTGGGCATCTTCCCTGACAGCAAGTGGCCCTGAATTTACTAAGAGGTCACGAATCTGTTCATTATATACCTTAAAATAAAAATAAAAATAACTGCTTTAACATTGATCTTAAAACAATAGTGATAACATCACAAACAGGCATACATTGCTGATTTAAGTTTATATTAGAATTTTATCTTAAAGACAAATAGCAGCTCATTTAGTTCATCTCATTCCTTCTATCTCATGTTGCCATTAGTATTCTACCATCTGAGGAAACAGAAGAGTTTAACTACATAGAGTTTAACTAAATAGGCTTGAAATTTAAATTTAAAGGTGGAGTCATTATACGCTCATCCCGTAATTGCTAACTTGATGATTTCAGTGAAAGAGAAATAAGATAGCTGGAATTGCCTTTACCAATTTCCTGGAAATATACAGGACACATGGTCTTGGGAAATTCTATTGGATCTGAAATGTAAGTTATATGGAGGTGGCATGGTTCTCACTGAAGACATTTATTATTTCATGATGCCCAAGTAGACCAAACTTTTAAAAATTTTACAGCTCAAAAGTTAAAGAAAATGCATACTCAAGGATGGATAGTGTTTTATTCCATTTATCCTTCAATTACATTAATTTAACATGCAATTTCTATGATAATTCCATAATGGAAACCCCTGCCCCCATTTGAATAATGAAGGAACAAAGACCCTAAAAGGTTAAGCGATTTGTCCATGTCCACAAAGGTAACAGCAGAGGAGACTGAAGGCCAAATATCCTTATTCTACTACATGGTATTGAATACACATCTGTACTTTATGTCTCTGGTATTACTTTTTTTTTTTTAGTAATTTTTATCTTTTTAAGTAATGCATATAAATAATTTTATTGACCGAATTTTATGAATTTACTAAAGGTACTAAGTTTTCTAGTTCCTACCTAATGACAACTACCACTGATATTTCCATGTTCTTAGAAATAGACCATAGTGACAATTCATTGCTAGTAAAATTTTTAACAATGAATGATAACCATTTTTAAATGTAATAAACTCTTTAAAGTAGTAAAATATTCAAGAGCTACATTTTTGGCTCTTATTTTTCTGAAGTAGCAGTCACTTTTCTAGTGCTTTCCCTTACCCACTTAAATCATAGAAAAAACGCAATTAGAACAATCATTCTCAAGCTAGTCTATGCTTCAGAACCACCTGGGAGCTTTTTAAAAACATAGATACCTCGGCCACAATCCAGACCTATTAAATTAAAATGTCCAGGGGGTGAGGTCCAGGCATGTCTATTTTTAAAAAGCTCCATAGCCAATTCTGGTGCACAGCCCAAGAGGAAAACCATTAGATTAGACATTGCCTTCCCAATAAAATGAAAGTAGATTAAAAGAAAGGAAAAATGATTAAAAACATTAAAAAAAACACTTTAAAATTCTCCCAGTTATGAAGGGATCTAAAAAAGAAATAACCAATACTGCCATGCTCTTTTCTAATTATGTTCAGAACAATTGTTTTCCATACTTAACTATAGGAAGTTTTACTTCTCTTTTATCTTCAAGTCCTATAGACTAAGATGAAAATTTTTAGCAACATACATAATCTTAATGAATTTTTGAAATGTAGGAGCTTAATTATAAGGTATCAATAAAAGAGCTGTAACGAGTAGAATTTTTTCTGACACCACAAATGAATAGGCAGTAATATCAGGAATTTATGTTTCTGTACTGGTTTCTGAAACACTATCTAAATTCAAAGTTAGAATGCCTGGCACTTAGTTATGATGTGTTGAATGTCAGCTATTAGTAAAAGGACAGGTGACCTACAGAAATGATGGGGCATGTCAGAAGGACCTAGGAGACAGCACAAAAGAGCCTTGATTGGCACAATTTCAGCATATAAATAAATAATTACAGAAAGAGGTTATAAACTATTGAATTATGTTAACAATTTGATGAGTTCACACTGATACAATAAAGGAAAGAGAAGCTCTCTTTACAGTAGACAGCCAATGAATAAATGTAGAAGAAATGAAGAAATTTAAAATCATAATCATCTAACATCATAATAATTGACTCAAGCATGAATCATCAGTGGATGAAAGTTTGAGTAAGATATTTATATATTCTCCCTACAAGGTACTTTTTAATTACAAAAGTTAAAGTAGTCTTGACAATGCAGAAACTTTGCAGACACCAGCATGATGAAATTGATCAAAGTTAACATAGCTAGTAATGGGACTAACTAAACACATAAGCCTCTTGATATGATGTCATAAGAACACAAAGTCACTTGTGTGGTATTTCTGCCAGTGCATAACCCAAATCTAATCGTGACAAACCAAACGAAGAGTTTTATGACAGCAAAAACATAAAAAAGAAATCCAGATTAAGGAGACTAAAGAGTTAGGACAACTGAATGCAACTAAGGATCTTAGATTTTCTTTTCTAATAAAGGGCATTATTAGAATCAATAGCAAACTCTTATTAAGGTCTATGGATTAGGTAACAGTATATCATTATTAATTTTCTGATAACTCTTCAGTGTTTATTTAAGGAAACTTCTAGAAGTCTGTAACTTCAGCAGTTTAGAAAAAAGAAACAGCTACACACACATAAAGAGAGAGAAAGCAAAGGTGGTCAAATGTTAACAATATGGGGAATCTGGGTGAAGGGTATCTGGAAGTTCTTTGTACTAATCTTGCTACTTTTATGCAAGTCAGATATGCCAAATAAAATACGGGAAAAAGAGAAAGGTGCATCACAGGCACTTAAAAATGGTGTTATATATTCATGAGAAAATTCCTATATGACAGAATAATTTAAATGGACCATGGAACTTCTTAAAGAAAGAGTTCTCAATACTATTGATTAATCTAAAGAATGCTATTGCCAACTTACCTCCAGATAAGAAACTGCGGTACTACATATTTTCTCTTCTTTAATCTCATCCATGGATTTGTAAAGGTCTAACAAGGTTAGATACATCACTCCAGGTTCAGTAGTTGATCCTAGCATCGTGTGGGTCTTCCCAGCTCCAGTGGCACCATATGCAAGTACTGGGTTTTCATGAAAAGGGATCAAAGCGCTCTGTTATGACATATACCATTACTATAGCCTCTGTCCAGTGGATAGTTCCATCTGGATATGCTCAACAGTAACTTTAAACTCAACAGATAGACACAAAATTAATTTATAGTCTTATCCTTAAAACCTGCAATGTTCGCAAAAATTGACTCTTATTCCTATATTCCCTATTCTGATTAATTGTACCACCAACCAACCACCTGGCTCCCCTCTCCCCGACCCCAACACTTGTTCCCAATCTTCTACAGCAAACTTACACATTTTAAGTAATCAATTATGTCTCCCTATTAGTCTCAATCTTCTTCCATCCCATAGAATTTGTGCAGTTACTTTTATGAAAAATGAAATTTGAATATGTTAAAGCTGTGTAATAGTTCCACAGTCCTACAGGAGGAAATTCAAATTCCTCACCTTGGAATACTATTAGGCATTCTAAGAGAGGGTGTCTGGTTACCGCTCTAGCCTATTTCTCCCTTGCTGTGGTCTAGGTACACTAGATTATTTGAAGTTCTCCTCTAGTGCTGCTCTCTTTCTACTCCACTGCCTTTGTCCTGGAAAGTTCCTCTATTTAATCCAACTAGAAAACTTTCATCTGTTCTAAATATTCAGCACAAATGTCACTTTCCTGTGCCTTCCCTGAGTCTTAGGCAGAAACGTCTACTCCCTTATTTGAGTCCTCAGTATATGCCACACGACTTCCTATTCCAGCACATATCAAGGTGTATTTCCAACTCTGAGTTCTGCCAAGGCAGAGGCCAGATATCCTTCACACTTAACAAGCCATCTGGCACAAAGCAGGTATTCGATACAAGTTTGCTGAGTGAATGAGTTCTAGATTGAAACCATTTATAAAATTCATTTTAAAATTTAAAACAACAAAAAAATGATGTTGTCTTACGCAAATTACTTGGTTTTCAAGATTCTATCCAGTAACACATAAAAGTGATGTTTTTTTCAAATGCAAATACCCATCACAATATTAATGCAAAACCAAAAGTTCACATATGTCAAATACCATCACAATATTAATGCAAAAAAGTCCACATATGGCAAATACCCACCATAAGATTGAGTTAAGGCAATAATTCCTATTATTACTGGTGAGAATATTTTTATAAGTTAAATTTCTCTGCTAAGCTAAATGTTAAACTACAAAAATACTTTTCAGAAGAATGAATTAAAGTGATGTATGTTTCATTTTGTTCTATTTTATGTAAGACCATAGTATATCAAGAAGTCTTAAGACAGCTAGATAAGAATATAAAGTTAAAGCCAAGAAGAAACCAAAGATTCAGTTGGTAGATTTTTGTTTATTTGATGTAAAAAAATCAAAAATCTCTAGAGACAATATGGAATTCCATGAATGAAGAAAAGAATATATGCTAAAATTCAGAATCATAGCAATATAATCAATAAACCACATTCCTTTCTTGCTGGACCAAGAGGATAAGTCTTCTGTAATAAAACTGAATGAGTCAGTGAGAGACAGTAAAATATGTTATAGTTTTGGGGCATCTTAAAGAAAATGCCATAAACTGTGGTAATTCCAAAAGTAAGATATGAATAGTGGTATTAAGTGCCTTGTAAGCATAGAGAAATAGCTGGCCTTTTGGACATATCTCTTTCTAGGAAATCAAGATGGCCATTTTGAAAGGAAAATTATTATAGGTCTATCAAGGGCACTAGACATTATTTTTTTTGGCTGAAGATATGCTAACAAAGCACTTGAAATCCAATTAACATGGGCTTTTAACATTTTTATTTCAAGATATTGTAAAAAAAAAAAAAGGCGCTATAAAGAAAATGCCAAGTGTTCAAAAAATGTCTGACTATTCCACAGGGATAGACAGTTATAAGGGTAAGCAGTGAAACTATTATAAACACACATTGTGAGAAATCTGGCATCAATTATAAGAAGCCTGTGGTTTAATAACAAATTGAAAGGATGATTGTCTATAGGGACCATACAAGACCGTGAAAGAGAAAGTTTCACAAATGATATATGTCATATATGATGACTAAATTTTAATAAAGTTTGCATTTACAATGAAAGTCTACTGAATTCAATAATTTTAGCAAACATGCACCTTAAAATTGGTATTTAGAGGAAAAGGCCAAGTAGATGTTTCTTCTAATGTAAAAACTAAAATCAGACAGGAAAATTAAACCCCAACTGAAGTAATTACCTGTGCAATTATATCCATTCAAAAAACTCCGAAGAATTGGCTTAGTAGTGTGTTCAAAAACTTCTAATTGAGTTGAAGTTTCATCAAAAACAGCATCAAATACAAACTTAAGATCCTTATTTTGTTTCTTTGTAATATCTCGATTTCCAGATTTCTTTCCACGGAAAAAACTGATTTCTTGTTGTTTGGGATCAAAAACTAGAATATGCTTATCCACAACATGGGCCACTTTATGGAATCCAGCTGCCTTTTCCTTTGTGTTCTCAGGACGCACACGAACAACTACTTTCATGTGGTGACACAGGTCTTCCTCGGGGACAGACATGGTTGGTTATCTTGATTCGTTTATATGAACACCTAAATACCTAAAATTAAAAAGAAACATAAAGTTTTAATATTAGTTCTATATGCCTGCAAAATGACTGGCATGTAGTATTCATTGAAAAAAGATTTTAAGGCTGTTCCACTCACCTGGTAAATGTTACTGGAAATATATATAGAGTTGCCTGTTGAACAACATGGGTTTATACTGTGTGGGTTCACTTCTTTGCAGGTTTTTAAAAATAAATACTGTAAATGCATTTTCTCTTCCTTATGATTTTTTTTCTTTTTTTTTAACATGTATTTTATTGATTTTTTACAGAGAGGAAGGGAGAGGGATAGAGAGTTAGAAACATCGATGAGGGAGAAACATCGATCAGCTGCCTCCTGCACACTCCCCACTGGGGATGTGCCCGCAACCAAGGTACATGCCCTTGACCGGAATCGAACCCGGGACCCTTGAGTCCACAGGCCGATGCTCTATCCACTGAGCCAAATCGGTTAGGGCTATGATTTTCTTAATAACATTTTTTATCTTACTTTATTATAAGAATATAGTACATAATGCATACAAAATATGTGTTAATTGACCGTTTATATTATTGGTAAGATTTTTAGTCAACAGTGGGCTATTAGTAAAGTTTTGGGAGAGTCAAAAGTTACATGCAAAATAAGTCAGACAGAAGTTAGGAACCATATGCTTTTACTCATATGTGGAACATAAAACTGAAAGCAACCAATGAACAAACAAGAAAAACAAAGAAAAGCTCACAGACACAGACAACAGTATGGTGGTTACCAGAGGGAAGGGAGTGGGCTGGGGTAATATAAAAGGTAAAGGGGGTCAAATATATAGTGATAGAAGATTTGACTTTGGGAGGTGGGCACATAATGCAATATAAGGATTATGTGACTCAGAACTGTACACTTGAAACCTATATAAACTTATTAACCAAGTTACCCCAATAAATTTAATTTTAAAAAGGAAAAAAGTTGTATGCAAATTTTGAAAGGCATGGGGGGGGGGGGGGGGACAGTGTCCCAAACCTCTGCTTTGTTCAAGGGTCAAGTGTGTGTTTGTGCATGTATGCACACATTTGTTTATTTGTTTAACTCCTTGGTTCAAAATCTTCCAACAGATCTTCATCTTATTCAGAGTACAAGTTAAGTTCATTAATGGCCTACATTTTCACCTTGTTTTATTGCTCACTCTATTCCAGCTAACGTACCAAGCACCCCATAGGTCTTTCTATTAGCCACTCTCTCTTTTACCAAGTACATAACTAATTCCTTCACTTCTTTCAAGTACTTGCTCTATTGCTGCTCTCCTAACCTCATTAACATTGCCAACCTAATTCCTAATCATTCTTATCCTGCTTTATTTTTTTCCAAAGTGCTTACTATCTCCTAATAGATTGTGTGTGTGTGTGTGTGTTTTAAACTTACTTTTTTACACCTGCAATCATTAATGTACTCTAAATTCACATCATTATAGAACAGTGACTAGGATCTATACTCAGAGCTAGGATCCCTGAATAAAGCATGGGTATACACCATCTCCATCACCTTCATATCTGGGCTTGCTAATTGATATATCCTTGGAATTATTTTTAACCCAATGGGTCTCTGAGACACAGGTAGAGACCAGCCTGGTTGTTTCAATTTCCACTGCCCAGAAGCTTGCAGCCAAGATCACATTTACTAAAAATAGTTCACAAGCCAAGGCTCTGCCTTCATTACCTTGATATAATTCTGAGAGATCCTTTCCTATTCATTCCCATGACCCAAACGAAAATAGTGCTGGAGTCATTGTAAAAAAAAAAAAATAAAAAAAAATCAAAGCTAGATTTCTGGGTAGCCTCCCAGTAATTGTATATGGTTTAGCTGAAGTGTTTAAGTGTAAGGGAAGGGTCTAATATTTCAGGTAAAGAGATTTATCATTGTTTCACACATACATGCCATTTTTTGCATTGTGACATAACCTAATCACTCTCACTGCTGTGGAGATAAAATACTATAGGGAATAGAGATTAGCTAAGTAACTGTAGTAATATAGACAAGAGATAATGTTGTAACTCAGGACAGGGTGGTGGTCAGGTTCTGGATGTATGCTAAAGGTCAAGACAATAGAATTTACTGATAGACAGATGTGGGGTATGAGAGAAAATAGATTCAAGAATAACTCCAAAGTTCTTGGCCTGGGGTTGGGAAAAAATGGAATAGCCATTAACTGGGATGATAATAAGAGAGAGTAGAGCAGGTTTTGGAGCAGAAGATCAGTTCAGTTCTAGATATCTTAAATCTGAAAATGCTAATAGGCATCCAGGTGGAAATGTTGAGGCAGTGGGAAGCCAAGTTAAGAAAGTAAAGCTGCATCAATCAGACCATCAAACCTCAGAGGGAATGTAGGGGAGAGCGGGGAAAAGAGGGAGAGATCAACTAAAGGACTTATATGCATGCATATAGCCTACCAATGGACACAGACACCAGGGGAGTGAGGGCATGAGTGGGTGGGGTGGAGGGGCAATAGGGGGATAAAGACACATATATAATACCTTAATCAATAATAATTTTTAAAAAGTAAAGCTATCCTCAGAGTCTTAATGCCATTTGAAGCTTTTAGAAGTTTTTAAAGCTTCAAATGGCATTAAGATTTGAAGACCTTAAGGAAGACCTTTAAATCAAGGAGAAAGGAATGATCAATTGTGTTAAATACTGCTAATGTGTTCAATATTTAATAAGAAGTAACCATGGGATTTAGCAAAAGAGAGGCCAATGAGAAGAGCAATTTGGGGGGAATGGTGGGACAAAAGACTGACTGGGAGAAGATTCAAAGAGTGAATAAAGAAACTACTACTAGAAACTACTACTGCAAAAGTGAGCAAAGAAATGGTGTGGGTGAAGGGGGAAGAAGGGTTAAAAGAAGAAATTTCATTTGTGTGTGTTTTTTTAATGGAAAAATAACAGCAATGAGATAGCTAAAATATGTCATAAAACCATATACTTTTGGAAAGAATTCAAATAAGGCCAAAAGCAATCTAAAAGCAGAAGACAGTGGACACAGCACTCCCATTTTAGGACTCTGTCCTTCTCCAAAAATAGAATGCTAAAGACGAAAGATGGTCATTTGGATTCTAACAGTCAGGTCCCAAGTGAATTACTACTCTGCTCTTTCTGTCTCGCCAAGTCCCACAAAGCACCTATAGCTCATTTCTATGACCTTGGTCAAGTTACTTAACCTCACTGAGTCTCAGGTTTCTCATTTGTGTAAAAGAGAGAATACCTCATAATACTGTTGTAAAGGTTAAAGGACATAACAGGTATTAAGGCATTCAATAAACGTCAATCCTCTTCACTATCTGTCCCCACTCATGCCTCTTGTTCCCAAAGATACTGGTCCATCTTTTTAATGATTCCCAATAAGCTTATGACTGGCACTTTGGTAGGATAATTCTTCCTTGTTTAGAACTGCCCCATGCATTAGAGTATGTTTCGCATTTCTGACCTCTGCCTATTAAAGGCTAGTAGAATCCCACATTTCTTATGATACCCAAAACTAACCTCCATACACATTTCTAAATCTTTTAAAAGTATTCAACAATGCTTTGACTTTAACTGACAAACTTTTTAAAAATGACAGATAATATGTACATATATGAAATGGTTAACCAAGCATATAAGACATTAGGTGATTATTTCAAAACAGAACTTAGAACCTCAAGGATGGAAGGTAAATCTTGCTAATTAACTAATTAATTCAATAAGTTAATTTTTAGATGTTGGAGCCAGACAGCCTAGTTTAAAATTCCAGCTCTACTACTTACTGGCCATAACTGTGGGCAAGTTACTTAAATGCCTTATGGCTCAGTTTCCTCATTTGTAAAACGGGACTAATGATACCTACTTCATAGAATTGTTGTGAGGATTAAGCACTTAGAATAATGTCTGACACAGAGTATACCACTGCAAATGTTTGCTACTAACAGTATTATTATAATAAACAGATATTAACAATACAGTGACACAAAAGATAAAGGTTTAACTGTGCCAAGTGTTTTAAAGTAAAGGTGAAAAGTGCTATGTAAAAGTATAATGGGGTACTGATATAGTTAGAAAGCTTCCTAGAGGAAGTGATGAGTTGAGAGCTGAGGGATAGATAATTATTAACTAGGTAAAAAAAAAAAAAAAAAAAAAAAAAAAAAAGCATTTCAAGAAGGAAAACTAATTATGCATTCAGTAAAAATTTATTGAGTGCCTTCTATGTGCTAGGCATTTCTCTGGGCCCTAGGATAAAGAGGGTCAGCAGTGTATGTGTGGGCTCCTATTTTAGGATAGGGCAGTTGAAAGAAGCTTATCTAGTGGGGTGACTTTACAGAAACTCAATAATGAGTGAGAAAGTAAGTGCCTATGGCAAAAATATTTCAGGCAGCAGGTTCAAGAGCTTATGGTAGAAAACATAAGCTCTTGTGCAGTGGACATAACTGGCTGCATGGTCAATTTTCTTAAATTTTGTTTCTTCTAGTTTAGTTTTAGATAATTGTAACTTTTTCAATAGCATCTAAAGAGATGCTCAATTTACCTTTGTTTGCTCAGTACTGACGCAGCAAAAGAGAAGGGAGAAGATTGCATTCAGATATAAAACTGGATTAGGGTGGGGTCAGATTTAGAAGATCTTGAATGCAAGGTTATAGCTTAGATTTGATTGAAAATTTAGGAATTATTGAAGATATTTTAGAAGGCAACAGATCTTATTCAAGTAACATTTCAAGGAGAAATTTTGCCAATTACCTAAAAGATAGTTTAAGAAGTATGGCAAATGCAAATTTGTTTTAAACTTGTTATAGACTTTAAGAAAGGCATCATCTTAATTTTTAAAGTATCATATTTACCCTAATTTGTCAAAACAAATGAGTGAATATAATTTTCATAATAAAAATACCTAAAGTTAGAAGAAACAAACAAACAAATAACCTAAAGTCAACAAAATCACCAAAATGTAAAAATTTGTCTATGTTTAAATATACTGATGCCTTCAGGGATTGATGAGGTTGCTCTTATACTAATACATGATGCCTGCTTTCTTTTCTAACATGGCTAAGTACAAGAGATGGAGATCTAGTTGATTCTGAATAAGGCACATAAGAAAGCAAATTCCTTTACCATGTTTATTAATTGGCAAAAGAATAAATATTGTTATCTGACAATAATCTGTTGATTCCAAAATACTATTCAAATGACAGTTCAATTTTGTCATATTTACTAAGTGATATTGATTGAATAGAATCAAAAGAGCAAGCTGATGGGATTTCGTTGTTGGAACTAAAACATTAAGGAGAAACACTTCCAATACCCTTGTTCATATAGAAGAAAGGTATTTGTCTAGTCTAGAGAGAAAAGAATATAAAAGAGTAAAAAGGAGCTAATGAAGGGGCTTTTTGTTCCCAATCTATAAAATAAGGTTGCACTATATGATATCTAAGGTCCTTTTTCTAGCTCTAAAGTTTTATAATTATTGCATATGACAAGATATAACAGCTAATGAAGGTGTATTTTTTTAATTTTTATATCCCTAACTTCTTGTACTGAACCTAGACACATAAATAAATAGACACAGAATCTAAGAAAGCAATTTACCCATTTAGAGACAAACATACAATATATTTCTCTAACAGAATGAACATATTACAGTAGGGTACAATGATTGGCAATAACAGGCAATTACAATGAGGACCCTGAGGCACAAATTTTAAAAAATGTGCCAAATTTCTTTTCATACAAAATCAGGAAAATGAGATAATGTTTCATGCTAATCAGTGAGAGAGCTTAAAATGTCACTTGACAAGGGTAACATTCAATTTTCTGGGAGTTTCACTTACATGGAACAGCTCATTTCTCTGCTATATTTAATGAAGAAGTGTTAAAAACTAATTCTCTTCAATAATTGCAAGATAATATAAATTGTGTTGAACGGGGGCAATCCTTAACTTTATCTAACTACCATTCACTCTAGGTAAAGTATAAGCCAATTAAGTTAAAAGATTCACCCCCAATTGTACATAAATACAATAATATTTTTAGTTCATTGACTGTATATACTGATGCTTACTTCAAAAGCAGTAAGATCACTTTATGAATCTTATGTCATTACCCCTGCTCTAAATTCTTCAATGACTTCCCAACATAAGAATAAAATGTACTCTTTAGCATGTCCTGTAGGTTCTACACCTGTCTACTTAGACCGTTTCTTCAAATGTTCTCTTCCTTGGTTACTCTGCTTCAGTCACACTGTCCTTAGTTTCCCTAAAAAAAATTCCAGTCTTGTCCTGTCTTCATTGCCTTCACACTTTCTCTTCTCTTTGCCTGGAAGGCTCTACCTTTATATATCTGCAAATCTTAATCCCTCAGTTCATCATTTAGATCTCTCTCTATTCAAATGGCACTTTACAAAAGCTTTCCCTCAAGATCCCATTCAAAATAGTATTTCTGCCCTTGCCTCATCAATCTCTTACCTACTTTATTTATTTTCTTAGCATCTAGACTAACTGGAAAATAGATGTTTTATTTGATTACATATTTATTGTTTCCTCTCTAGAATGTCAACACTGTGAGAGTATGGTCTTCATTTGTACCCCAGACCCTAGAACAGGGCTTGTCAAATATTTAGGATTCTCAATACATACTTATTGATAAACGAAAAATAAAACGAATGCAGTTTTTTACTGATACATGTGCCAAAAAACAAGTGCAGAATAGTGGACTCGGCACACAATCATTTGTATGTTTAAAAGTTACATACTGTTTGTGTATGCATGGACTCTGAGGGAGAGAACACAGAAATTGATAATGCCAGTTGCCCCATGGTGAGGAAATATAAAGGTCTGGGGGACAGGCAGGCTTGCTTTCTACTTTATATTCTTTTTTGCTGTTTGAATTTTAAATGCAAAATTTCAAAAAACAAAACAAAACAAAAATTATTAAGTTTACCTTAAACACAACTATCCTTTAATAACAAGTTCTATTTATGAAATACTTTCTATTGAGCTCTTATTCTACAGACAGACATTCTAAGCAATTTACATGCTTCTCACTTAATCCCCACAATAATCCTATGATATAGGTATATTATTAACATTCCAATCTTACACAGGAAAAAAACTAGTTAGGGAGAGATTACGTTAACTGGCAAAAGTCACACTATTGGAAGCACAAGACATGGGATTTGAACACAGACTAACTAAATCTAAAACTCAAGAATTTAATTGCCATTCTTTCTGATATCAATACATAATACACAAACTTTCTTACAGAAGTTTAAAAAATATATATTTGCCTACTTTTGATAGAAACCTCAGGGTAGTACAGGAGCTCTTGCATACATGTTGAAATAAAACAAAGTTTATGCTTTCGTGCTTGTTGGATTATCACAGTTTCTATTCTCTCCAAATATGCCATGAATTGAGAACTCTTGGATTAGGTCTACACAGTGATATTTACTAATCATAAACAACAATGACTATTATTTGAAAACACTGTATATATATCAGGCATTATGGTAAACATTTGACATTCACTATCTCATTCAATCCTTAAAATAATCATATATAAGGTAGATTCTATTATTGTCTCCATTTTACAAAAAACAGAGACCTAGTTTTAGAATAAGTAATTCTGCCAAGATGACATAGCTAGTAAGTGAGGAGTCAGAATGTGGATCCAGATCCAAATCCAAAGTCAATGTTCTGAACAACAATGCTCTACTGGAATCGGAACAGAATGCTTTCAAACAATGAAACAGAAACGTTGCACGAATCATCTTGAATGTGGAATGATAGAGTTAACTCAAACCTGAATTAGATTCAGATTCAACAAACAGTTTTTAGGACCAGGAATTATCCTCCACACTATCATTTATTGTCTCTAGGCAACTTAAACCTCTTTTTGAAAATAACTTTAGTGTTAGAACCACTGCTTCTACTAACTTATATGCATCAGGGAACGAATTTCACATGCAGGGAAGGGTGGCACTGACATCTGGGCTATTTTTCCCTTCCTAGTTTTTATAGAGTTGACAGCATAAAAATAATTTTATGTGTACCTTCATCGATTCAGGGTATATTTTTAGTGGGACAAGAGGCACTTTTTTAAAACAAAAATTTCATATGCTTCTAAGTACTTGTTCAAAAACAGAAGAGACAGTAATCACTACAGTTAAAGGCAGATAATCTTTGTACTGAAATACAATTATTACAAAATAACAGAAACTTACATAACAGGCCCTATGTAGTCTTTGAATCTTATATTCTCTAGCACCAAAGTTCATTTACTAGTATACCTCCCAAAATTCAAGGTGGCGGAATAACACTACCAACTAAAACCTGTAGAATGCCCAACACATTCTACCTGATTGTTAACAGTTAACCTAAGTTACAGATTATGCAGCAAAATTATTCATGTCTGGTCCAATCTCCTAAACCGTGGTCAGCTCTGACCTCTATGTAATTGAGTGCCTAAAGGAGTCTTGCAGAAACTAAGCACAGACGTTAGAAGGGCCGATTCTCACAGCTCCATGTCCCTTTCATTTGCAACTTGCCAAGCAGTCTGATCTCTTCCATACCTCATCTGATCCTCAGCAATCCGTTAGGCAGTGCTGGCAGGTCTAATCTTGATGCTCAGGCCTCCAGGCAGGGTCTCCATGGACTTTTGCCCGTCTAACTGCAGAACCTCACGGGAAAAAAGTTTATCCATTAGGGAACCAAGGTTCCTCATTTGACAGGGATGCCCAGTCACTTTCACATCTGTGTCTGACACAAAACACTCTGAATTTGGGGTGCGGAGATCACTTTACACTGTCAAAGTGCTGGGCAGAAAGTGCTCTGCCGAAGTCTGGGAAAGGGGCCAGGATGCCCTTTAAAACTTGGACTTCCTCGGAATTTAAGGCAGGAGATCCCAGCCCTTCCTGCGGAGCAGTCGTGGGCTTCCGATCGCACAGAGCCAGGCGCTTGGGGGTTCTCCAGTTTCCTCTTCCTTTAGCTTTCTCCCCAGGGATCCTAACCACCCCCGCCCTCACCCTCACCCTCACCCTCACCCTCACCCTCCATTCAACGCTTCCCTGTTTGTTAATAAGCCAGCCCACCTGGTCTTCCACGTGTGAGGCGGCGGGACCCTTCCGCGTCCAGCAAGACAGGTCATCGAAGAGCGCGTCCCGAGAACAGCTTTCGAGTTCCTCTCCTTCGCATCCAGCCCCAAAAAACGATCCCGCAACTCTTCACTTTCACATCAGCCTCCCGGAGACTCAAACTCAACCAAGAGATTCAAACCCAAGCCAGCTTCCTCAGCGCCCCGTTTCATTGGCTGCCGTCTTCGTGACGCCATCACGTCGGACGTTGCCGCGGCGCGCTGCAGCGGCGCGCTGCCGCTGGGCTCCAAAAGCCTCAGACGCGCGACTCAGCGGAAGCTGCCTTGACTCGCGTCTCCTTGGCAACGCACGCGGCTGTTTCCGGAGGCGGAGGCCGAGGTGGGCGGGGCCAGGCCGGAACTGCAGGTGGGAGTCAGCCACCTGGGAGTCTCAGGCCGCCTTCTGACGCCCCCGGCGCGAGGCTGGGTCCCAGGGTTCAGGGTGTGAGTGAGAAGGGTATAGGCCTGGGTTGGTGGGTGTCCTCTGCTAGAGGGAGAGGCAGAGTCTGTTGGGTGTGGATTAATAGGTTCTGGGTGTTTATTTTCTCCACTGACCAGTGAGGCCTGCAAAAGCACAGGTCCCAAGCCACTGTCACTGGGACCGAAGCGTGATCAATAAGCCTCAATTAATTAAAAGTCCAGGGCTTTAGGTTTGAGGCCCCAGGCTTCTCTCTGGACTCCCAGGCCTACTCTCTTTGGCGCCAACTGTGAAACCATTTGGTGTTTTACATTTCTTTCTAATGATGGCATTTCAAAATAAATTCATTTAAACTTATTGGCCTATTCATTATTGGATGCAGTAGTTTTTGTTTTGTTTTTTAAGTACTAGGTTTTATGTATTGTTTCGGAATGTACACTTTAAAAGGAAAAAAATGCCTGGATAAAATGGGAAATATGTTTGCTAAGATAATTTGTCGTCAGGAAATTTTTAATAGTATGATGTGAATTTCATTGTTGTCCTTTATATTATTACCATTATTGTATCCGTTTATTCAGCAATTGTTGATTGTAGATTTTAGGGACATAATAGTGCACAATTGTGTTAATATCCCTACCCTCTTGGAGCTTATATCTTGGTGATTCAATATCACCATATAAATAGGATGGCCCAACACCAATGCAGAGTATTATAAGTAAAACAATGTCTGGAAAACCCCTATAAAATGGACATTTACTTCTTATGGAAGAAAATCAGAAGCGCTGTACATTGTATATGATGCATGTTATATGATTGGTTTTGAACCAATAGCATCAATAAAGCTATTAATTACTGGCTGTATTACATATATCTTAGCAAATGCAATAGTGTTTGTGTGTGTGTGTGTATGTATGTGTGATGCTGAGTTTAATAATAAAACTAACAAGTCTTTTTTAAAAAATTCACATATGCGCTCACTCTATAGTTCTTTATCTTTGATGTCTCAGGCATTTTATTAACTTTACATATGTTATGTCATTTAATTCTCAAAACAGCCCATGAGATGTGGGTATTATTTATTTTATTGAAGTGAAAACTGAAGTTTTCAGGAAATCCCTAAAGGAAAATATTTTTCTTGAACTGTACAAACCAGCTAATTAAGAATTGAATAATTTGTCTCTGAAATACTTTCCAGATTGAGGGATATTAAGATGCTATATCAAAAAACAAGATGCTATCTTAATAGAAAGTGAAAAAGGTGTTTTACCAATTTCTTGTAAAATTGCATTGGTCATTGGTGACTGAGAAAGTAGATATCTTAAATTTCGTCGTTTTTGACACACATTGTATAAGGCTTATCCGTCTAACAGGTGTTCCCACGCCTAATCTAGGTACTTATTTTAATTTAAAGTTTTGCCTTACACTGCCATTAAGCAGTATTCAGATTAGCTCCGTATTTTTAAGGAATGTATATTTAGTTAAAACAGATCAATTTTAACATTGTAATCAATGCCATTACTGTGCCAGCTCTCTTTAGTTTGGCAAGACATTAAGGATTATAACAGAAAGCATACGAAATGAGCTTATTTTGTATGGAAATGAAGGAAAAAAGAACCAAAACTTCAGAAACATATAGTGCTCAGGAGACAGAAATTCCTGCCTTTTAAAGAAACTGGTGTATAGCTAACTTCCATGTTATTTAGAACACAGACATTTAACATAGGCTTGTAGTAAAATGAAGAGTGGAGACCAGTATAAAATGGAAAGTTAGATTTAAAGTTGCATCTGACATAAAAAAAAAAAGTAAAAAGTGAATTAAATCCTGGCATTGCTAGGGTCTTATTTACCAACTCCCGTCCTCCTCCCTCTCCCCACAAAGGAACACCATTTGGAAACTCCAGCGCCTGCAAGACCCTTGGGCAGCTGGGGCTGGAAGCAGCGGAACCAAAGGCGCACGTTCCTCTGTTGTGGGCGGGACACAGACCCGAGCTGTCCGTCTTTTCAAGTTTCCCCTCGGGGCTGGGACGAAGGCGTGCAACCAGTTCAGGTTCCCCGTAGTGGTCACCGGTGGCCCGGGCTAGAGGCCACCTGAGGAATCTTCGTTCTTCAGGTGAGGAGAAGGTGGTCAAGTCCCGGGAGCTACCCCCACGCCTCTAGGGAACTTCCAGAGGTCGCCCCACTCTCCCCGGACAAAGGAAACACACGCCCCTGCCCCCACTTGTACCGCTTCCTCTGCTGCCCGCTCATTCATTCAGAGTTCAGAACTTTCTACACAGTGTTACCTCGTCCGAGTGTAATTCTTAGGCCACAGGATGCCTTTTCCCCCCCCTTCTCTTTAGAACTTTCACTTTCTCTGCGTTCCGGTGCGTCTCCGGGTTCAGGAATTAAGTTTTCAAAAGTTTTCTCTGCGGGGAAAACTGACTGCGATGATGGCAATGGTTAGTCCCACTGAGGAAGCAGTACCGCTCACCTTTGTGCTTCGACCATTAAAAGAGTAACCTGCCCAATTCCGTGGTCTCAAACAGCTAAGCTGAACTTTGCTGGCAAAGGAAAGTTAAATGGCTTAGGAAGCCACGAATTGGGCCAGGTTTCCGGACCCCCTGCTTTCTTGCTGGGACCAGAGGGTACATATGTTGCCTTAAATCATGTTGGGGGTGGCCGGTTCTTGGAGGACCGCCCCAGTGCTTTTGGGGTTCTGGTAGGAGACTGGGCTGCAGAGGACAGAGAAGGAACTTTGGAGTTTACCTCCTTCCAAGGTATTCAAGGAAACACCCAAAGAAGAAAAGTATTTTGGCCCTTACTCCATGTTAACCCATTTTAGTAGCCAATTGGTGCATAATAAAATCCTAAGGCTTTGTATTTTGAACATAGTTGAGTAAATAGAAATTGAATATAGAAGAAAAGAATTAATTGCTGGCAAAGGCAGCATTTTTTTTTTCCTATCCTACTTGCTTTGTCCCAGGTTGTTCTGATTCCTATATTAGAATTGATGTTTTGTTTTTTTAAACATTATTGAAGTCTGAACATACGATTTAGATTGTTTAAATACTCCAGATTGCACTATTTAGACCTATATATTGTATGTTCTCTGTTGAGTACCCCACAGTATACTGTATTTCCAGGTGGAGTAGGACCAAGCAATAGGATATTGGCTCCTTAAAAAAACAAAAGAATATAATTTATGAGATACCACAATAGTTAGTCAATATAATTAAAGTGCTCTTCAGTTACATAAGTGTATTAAATAGAGCCAGTGGTCTCTATGTTTATAGCATAGAGGTTAAAATGACAGGCTCTGGGGATAGAATGCTGGAGTTAACACTTATAGCTTTCTGGCTCTAGAGCTATCTGACCTTCTCACACAGTGTTTATTTGTTTTCCTCATCTTTACAATGGGAATAATAGTTCCTACCTCTAAGAGTAGTAAGGATTGAATGAGTTAGTACATGTGGTGTGTTTAGAATTATTTTTTTTGTAAATATATTTTATTGATTTTTTTTTTAGAGAGGAAGGGAGAGGGAGAGGGATAGAAGTTAGAAGCATTGATGAGAGAGAAACATCAATTCAGCTGCCTCTTGCATGCCCCCTACTGGGGATGTTCCTGCAACCCAGGTACATGCCCCTGACCAGAATCGAACCTGGGACCCCTCAGTCCGCAGGCCGATGCTCCATCCACTGAGCCAAACCGGTTAGGGCTGTTTAGAATTATTAATGGTACTTAGTAAGTGCTCAATAAATGTGAGCTTTTATTTTGTAAAAAATGTAAGAAATACTAAGTTAAAGGGTGGTTGAGTTTACTTGTATACACTATCTGGCAAACATAAAGCATAATTATTCATTTGGCTAATTTGTTACTGCTGAACAATCTAGTTTTACTTAAAACTCTCATTTCATATATATATATATATAATTTTTTTTTGCCATATATTTCCTGTGCCACATTTGCCACATAATTCTGTGTATTATGAATTTGGTAAAGTTGACATGTTATCCTCAAGGTAACATCTAGTTGATATTATATTTACATAATATTAAATATGTAGAGATAGGTATATTTATATTTCTTCTCTAGTTATTACATGTGATTAGCTTTTTAACATTATTCTTCATTTTCTAATGCAAAACTGAAGGAAGGCATATTTAAGTGGGCTTTATGTGTTTTTTTAAGTATTTCGAGAAAGTGTCTTTTTGTAAGGTTTGTCACACAAATGAAATTTTCTAAAGCAAACTGTGATAAAAATGTTAATTCTGTAGAATCTGGAATTTATCCATCCATTTATTTTCTTTTCAGAAAACATTAAGCACCTAGTGCGCATCTAATTTTGTGGCTATAAAGGTGTGGGTCTTACTCTTAAATGACTCATATTCCATGAGGAAGGGAGAGAGGTGTTAATTTGTTACTTACTGAAGTATTTCACATCAGAAGTGTTGTTTACAACCAATTGAGTAAAAAAACAATGTTTTCAATAGATCTTCTATTAATACACTTACATTCCTTCTGTGTTTTAAAGAGTTACATATTGCAGAATAAAATAGAGCAAGTATGAAAAAGTGAAGGATGTATCAACTTTTTATTTTATTTATTTATTTATTTAAGGTCAAGGGACTGATAATTAAAGCAGTGGTGGTTATGACATGGCAAAGTATGCTCAGCTTAGTGTTTACAAAGTTACTAGAGGCCCAGTGCATGAAATTCATGCATGGTGGGGTGGGGAGGAGTTCCC